CGCCTCCTTCTTGAGGCTGCCCATTTCCGGGACCCACTGCATCGTCGGGGCGACCATCGGTTTCTCGCTGGTGGCCAAAGGACAGGAGGGAGTCCGGTGGTCTGAGCTGCTGAAAGTCGGTAAGCCGGGAGGGACCCGCCCGCCCCAGAGCGGTCTCGGTTTGGATTGGTGAATTGGCACCTTTCCATCCTGTAACGGTGCCCCCTTCTGCCTTCTGATCGTTCCAGTGCTGTCCTGGTTCATCTCCCCGCTTCTTTCTGGCATAATGTCTGCTGTCCTGTTCTTCATCGTTAGGAGGTTTATTCTTTCCAAGGTACGTATGCCGCTGGGGGAAGCAAGAACCTATACTTTGGCGTGTGCTGCTGGCAGATAGGGCCTAATCTTGGGCATCGGCAGTCCGAAAGGGGACCACGTGGGGGTTGTAGCCGTGGGTTGTGCTGGATGCAGATGGCCTCTATCTTTAGCCGGTTGCAGCACATCATACCAAGCTCCAGGAATTTTCCCACTGGAGAATGTTTTCTGTGCACTGAACGTTTGGCCGGTATCTCTTCTATAGGAGCCTGAGAAAAAGTGTGAATTTAATTTAAGATTTTATTCTCTGGTGGTCTGTCCAGAGGAGTGGTTCCCATGTCTAAAAGTTCAGTCTGTTGCTGAACAGATCTGAAATGTAATTCTATGTAGTCTTCATTTTGTGGGCAAGAACAAACTAATATGTAGTGAGTTTATTATTAGGTTGTAAATGTAGAATTTTATAGTTGGGAATTTTATAGTTGGGAAGCCATCAGACTGATGAGAATCCAGTTTAAACTACCCCAATAGTTGACTGTTCATTGTCCGTTCTCTCTACCTGAACGTGTCTAGTGAAGGGAAATCTGCAGCTTCTCTTGGTAACTGTTCCTGTTGTCATGTTTTTAGCATGGGGAAGTTTTTCCCTAATGTTGCCTTCTTTTAACTTTAGACAATTATTTCACATTCTTTACTCTGGAGCTATGTTGAGAGCGGGTTGTGGGTGCTTTATGGCTTCTCTTCACAAATGACCCTTTTAAGCTTTCCTGAGATTAGGTCTTGGAGGAGAAATTGATTGTTGGGGGAAAAACCATCCCAGATTCCTCTGGTTTCCTGGCATTGGGAATACCACAAAAAAGTGTGGTTGGGTGGGTTGGGAGAGGCTAAAAATGCTACAGAATCCACAATGTTTTTTGCCACAGTTGCAAAGCTGTGAAGATTTATATAGCTCTGAAGTTGGTCAGTTCATAGCACTTTTTTTCAAAGCCCTCTTCTTTTCCCTAAAAATAAAAGAAAAGCAGTAAATGTTGTTTCCTATTTCTGCCCTTTTGGTGGCAGGATTAGTGTTGGCTCTTTAAAATATGTCACATGTTTGCATTGTATTTAGAGATGTAAAATTTCTGGATATTTTTTTTTTTTTAGTAATGCATCCATATCATAAAATACATTTTTTGTAGGCAAATCCTGTTCCGAATGGATTACGTGCATTGCCCGTTTTCTATGCTTGCACAATTGGAATCAATCTCTTCTCAGTCATGTATAGTGGCGCACCTTGTAAGTAGAGCATCAAATATTAAGGTTTAATTTTACAATCCTTTATAAGCTTCTCAATCAAACACAGAATTTTACCCCTTTTGCTTTACAGGACTGAATTCTTCTAGAAGGCAACTGGTCTGGGCCGTTACAGAAGGCTGCAGGCTAGCATACGCTGAGTTCAACCTTAGATAGTTACCTCGTCCAAGAGGCCTGTTCACTCTGTAAATTACTAGAGTCCTTTCTTCTTAATCCTCACAGGAGCGACTATTTCTGACTTGCTGCTGCTGGTGTTCCACAATCCCCCTCAGTTACCTGCAGACTCTGATCTGACTTCTCCCTTTCCTTCTTTGCTGAAACTTGGGATACTAGATGCTGCTAAACCAGACCATTTTCTGCATTCTTCTAATCAAATTCTGACCAGCTAGGAGGCTTTGGGTGGATTTCTCACTCTGGCTCTCTGTGCTATGAATATTAGATTCCAAAGAATTTTCCTGTCTTCCCCTTCCCCAAGAAGTGCTGACAACAAGTGCATGGAAGAGGAATGTCATACTTCTGTGTTGGATCCTTCTGAATCTCTTGAAATATTAAACTGGGTGTTGGTGGGGGAAAGAAGCTGGATTCAACTTTAATAAGACTTTAGCATTTTTGGTATAAACCAGGGAGATGTCATATTGACAAGGGCATTTCTGCTGGACCGCAGCCTGCTGCAACGGGTTCTAAACTCCAGGTAGTTGAATGAATTTTAAGTGCTTGAAACTGCTTTTTCCTTCTGCTGCTTCTATTGGGGTAGAGCAACCCTTTTGTGTGTGTTACTGGAAATGTAAATGAATAGTGAGTAAGGTACCTCAGCCATAACCATCTCACCTGGAATTCATTGCCAAAATGCTCTTAGCAACCTAATTTTTCTAATCCTGTAAAAATGTTCTCATTGTTGGACCTTTTTAATTTTGAGGTATATGTTGTATTTGCATAACACACCAAACTATCATTTACAACTCCAATGCCTCTAAACTCCAGCAGCTTGTTTTACATTAGATACTGCCCTGGCTAATTGGGAAAGTATTGTGATACCAAATTTGTGGTCCCCAGGTTTTGCCTCAGATAAGCTTTCTGTTGTTATTGGTTTACACTACCATTCTTCCCTTGAGCCAAGAAAATCAGTGATAAAATGGATAAAAACATGATTCTTGTTTGGGGTGTATAATACATGAGCCCTGAGGTAGTTTGTGAAATACGAGCAAGGGAAGAAACTAAGGCCAGATTGAAGCTGATTCAGCAAGAAAAAGGCAAAATTTATTGGTTTCTTTTTTTCTTGGAGTTATATACAATTTCTAGGAGAGACCATAGTTTCAATTTTTTTTTTTTGTGACTGGACTCAACATAGGCCAAGTATTTCATAGTTCAGTGTGTTGTGGAAACCCTGTTGTCCTAGCTTGTTCTGTGAACCTAGATGGCATGTTAAGCGATTCAGTTTATTCGTTTGTGCTTGGCATGTAAAACGAACAGAGCAATTGTGTTAGATTAACTTGAGTTTAACAGGCTGTGCAGCACTGAGGACACCAAAAGGCACGCGCGCATGCAATGGCCTAACCATATAGGTACTGCGTGGCTATGTAAGTCGTAATGTCATCTTGCAGTCATTTAGTCTAACAAGCAAAACAAGAGGCAGAAGGAATTCACGTTTGGCTGAAGGGAGCGAGGCTCCATTTCCCTTGCACATGAAGCTCAACCTGGAGTGCTTGGCTGAGAGGTATTTTTTGTGTTAGGAGGGCCTCTTGCCACAGCGTTTCAAGATGCATTGTTTTATTTCCTAGTGCTGGGCTTTGACAAACTTCCCCTCTGGGGCATCATCCTGATTTCTTCGGGGAGTGCTATTTTGTGTGCTCTCATCGTCTGGTTTCTTATCTGTCCAAGAATGAAGAAGAAAATTGAACGTAAGTAGATCAAAGTTAATTGAACTTGAATGCGATAGTGCAGCATAGCTGAGTCTTTAGATGTTGTGCTTTGGATGACTGTCCTGTTAAACAACTGGATTTAAATGTAAACTGAACTTGAAGTAAATTGGGCTGGGTTCATGTATGCTGCAGGTTGCTTCTTGGCACCTGCTGCTCGTGCCAGGTAACTCCATGTAGCTAGAGCAGAGTCTGGAGAGTGTGCCGAGAGCAGGGCCTGGGCAGATCCAGAGTGATCTCAATGGCAGAAGTGGGAGGGGGGGCTTTCTATGTTGCTGCGCTGGCACCGGTTCTGTGCTGTGGGGAAAAGGGTCACTCGGGTTGCAGACAGCTTGTGCCTGTCCCAGATCCTCAGAGCTGAATGTTGTTGGGTTCTCTGTTGTCTGAATTGACCAATTTGTATAATGTGTCGCAGCTATCACAAAAAGTGCGTTAGATCATTTAGTGCCTTTGTGGTGTGAAAAAGTTCCATGCACATTAGTTACTATGCTCCTAGCTCTAGCAAGCGGTTTCCCTTTCCTTGTTCCAATCCACCCCTTCAGGATGAGTTTCCTTTTGGATCCTGTTCCAGGGCACAGCTTGGAAAATATAAAATGCAGGTTGTGACATGGTTCCTCATCCTGAGCTGTTGAGCGCTCTGTAGAATTCTTGTAACTCAGGCCATATGCTGCTTAAACCTGGCATTGGACAATATATAACACTATTGTATATAAAACTTTATGGAGGGAGGGAGGACTCAACATAGTTTTCAAATATTGTGGAGTGTGAATTTCCATATCCCTTGTTATATATGTTGTGATTTGTAGATCTTTGCTTTCCTTCTTGGTTAAATTTTGGGTGCTGCCTTGGAATACGTTGGGGAGGTGAATGCTTTTCTTAGTTGCAGCTTGCTTGTTTCTGCAGAAGAGATAAAGTCCAGCCCTTCTGAGAGTCCGTTAATGAGGAAAAAGAGCAGTCTGAAAGAACAAGATGAAACTAAGACAACTATAGATAACGGCATTGCTGATGATGAAGATAGGAGCAATGCAGCTGATGTGCCTCCCAAAGCAACTATTGAGGAAAGGGCTGTCTCTTTCAACTTGGGAGATGTGGAGGAGATCCCAGAACGTGAGAAGCTTTCTAAGGTTGAGATGAAGGAAACAATTATTGATAGTGGTGAGTTGATCTTGAACCTGCATTTTAAGGGATGTACAAGTGGCTTTAGTAAGTGCCGGTATAAGTTCGCTGGAGTTCTGCTAATGACTTAGAAAATAGGCACCTTCTGGTGACGTAGTAGCTTACATGCTGTTGAGGTCAAACTGCCTTTATGTCTGCAGGAGCCATGCAGCTTCCCAATGGGAGTCTTGTTCAGTTGAACCACGTGGTGAGCAACCAGATGGGCTCCAGTGGACATTATCACACTGTGCATAAGGATTCTGGGCTGTATAAGGAGCTCCTTCATAAACTTCACCTGGCCAAAGTAGGTGACTGCATGGGAGATTCCGGAGACAAGCCTCTGCGGCGCAACAACAGCTATACCTCTTACACCATGGCTATCTGCGGCATGCCTCTGGATTCATTCCGAGTGAAAGAGGCTGAACCAAAGGGAGCAGATGAGATAGAGAAGCTGACGTGGCCCGGAGTAGATTCCAAGAAGAGGATCCGCATGGACAGCTACACCAGCTACTGTAATGCTGTGGCAGATGCCCACCCACCTGACGTGGATTTGCAGAAAGTGGAGATGGGGGTTGTTAATAGGAAGGATAGTAGTTGCTCTCTGGATGAGTGGCATGACCAGGACAAGCCAGAAGTGTCTCTGCTTTTCCAGTTCCTGCAGATCCTGACCGCCTGCTTTGGCTCCTTTGCTCATGGAGGAAACGATGTGAGGTCAGTGGCCGGCTCGGTCTGGTCGCCCTCAAGTAACTAATTTTTGTTGCTTTCTTTGCACGTGAATAAAGGTATTCTTAGGGCAGAGTTGACCTTTGGCATATTACTCTTATCCATTTACTGACAGAAAAAATTCTCCAGGCTGATGCTGGGGGATATTTTTTCTTTTGCTGCTTTAGGTATATTTGGCTTGGTTGATTGACATGGTGTGTTTTCCCTTTTGGCAGCAATGCTATTGGTCCTCTCGTTGCCCTATACTTGGTCTATCAAACGGGTGATGTGTCTTCCAAGGTGGCCACTCCAATTTGGCTTTTGCTATATGGCGGTGTTGGGATCTGCACCGGCTTGTGGATCTGGGGAAGAAGAGTCATTCAGACCATGGGGAAGGATCTCACTCCCATCACACCTTCAAGGTAAGGGGAGAAGTTTCCAATGTAGGATAATGCCACCAGACTGGGAAATAACCTGGGCTGGAACTGAGTGGGGTAGTTTGAGGGCCTAATAAGCTTGAGACTTATTTCAAGAATCCTTTGGAACTTTTAATGTACATTTTGCAGAAATTGACTTGAATAATTCAGTGTTACCCATTTATATACCTAAAGTGTTGATAGCTGTTATCCTGTCTTTAAAAGGAGCATTCAAAGGAGCATGAACTCTTTTTTTAATGGATACTCTTAATGTTTCAGCTCAGTTTCTTTCTAACCCCACTGATTTCTCTATTGATTGAAATTTACTTTTCTGCAGTGGCTTCAGCATTGAGCTGGCATCTGCTCTGACTGTGGTTATTGCTTCAAATATTGGTTTGCCTATCAGCACAACTCACTGTAAAGTAAGTATGAAGTGCATCTGTAAAATTAATATTAACATTGTTGGCGGCAGCCATCTTGTTGAGGTGTGTGTAATTCTGCTATGCTTTTCATTGACCTTTGTGTCTTTCTCTGGAAAGCTCAGAAGCTAGCTCCAGTTTTCATTATACAGTGGAACCTCGGTTCACGAACTTAATTTGTTCCATGACTCTGGTCGCG